CCTTGACATTAACTTTTTTATTTGGTTGTCCTGTCAGAGCAAGTACTTTTGAAAATTACTTGCCCTGACCCAAAGCTTGCTTGCCCTGACCTAAACCGGTAAAGTGTTGAAAACAACCCTACATTTATAAGTAAGGTTTGAGAAAAAGGGTTGGCAATCTATGAAAATGGGGTTTATTTATACTCTTATCATGCATGGGTTTCATTATAAGCCGTACAGGCTTATAATTTTAAGAAATTAAGACATTTTGTGACAAAATCATACTCATTTTTTTACTAAAATTGGTTGGATATAGAAGGAAGGTGTGACATAATACAAGGAGAAAAAAGGGGCTAAACAAGATTTTAAAATGTTTTCAGTAATTCAATTACATGTATTTTGAAGAAAAAAAAAATTTAAAAAAAATGGTTATTGTGACAAAAAAAAGAAGTTTTGTGCATTTAATTTTGATATATAAAAATCACTTAGATAAAGAACTTTCTTCATAAAAGAATTTTTATAAAGTTGTGGACAGAAACTTTGTAGGTTTTTTGTTTACCACGCCTTAAGTCGCGAAAATATGTGACAATTTCATTTACCGATTTTGTATTCTTTTTACTTTCTTAATTTACATCTTTTTTCCTTGTGGATATGACCCTGTAACACATTTGTAGATGAATTGTTATTATTTTCACAATTATCTACAGGAGAAACGTTTTTTCTTTGAGGATATACGATAAATTTTAGATTTTAACGGCAAAAATAAACAGCCAGAAATCGGCAAATCTTTAGACAGCTAAAGTAAACTTTAAGTTCAAGGTTGTGATTTGAACTTTAACAGGGTTTGAACACCTTTAATAAGAAGAGGTGTTGACATAATTAATAATGCTAATCAAGTTTTGACATATACATCAGACAACCGGTCTGTGTACATGTACAATTGCCCCTGCTGTGAGGTTCGTTATTTATCGTCTCCACAAATGTGATTCGTTCTAATTAAGTCTAATTAAGATTGAAATTGTAATTTGAAAGGATTATTGGTCATAATATTGGAATTTAATATGTTTACTTATGATTTTTTTCACTTGCCCTGTCGGACAAGTTCTTTTGAAATCACTTGCCCTGACCAAACTTTTGGTTGTCCTGAGCAGTCGGACAACCGTTAATGTCGAGCCCTGGGTTCGAGTCCCGGGTATGGCGTGCCAATTTTTCGTGCGAGTTGTGAGGTCTTATGTATGCCCCACATTAAATATAAACCCCACAAGTATGGTCTTAAATAGACTGATGCCCTGTATATGGAGGAATGTAACTGTATATACGAGGGTTGTCCCAATATTCTGTGACAAGATTGTTTAAAAGCTAAATAAAAACAGATACGAATTTGATATTTTAATATGTTATAAACCCATATAATTTAAACATTTTCACAAATTTTCATAGATAAATATCAACAAACAACAAAAATATGCCATAAACACCATGGCAACTAACTGAATAGCGGTGCACGTCCGACGTCAAAGACGGCGTTAAATCTATATAAGGTGCCTTTCTCAAATACTCTCAATGGTTTTCAACACAATAATGGTACCCATAAATCGTCAATTTTTGACTTAAATCATGTGGTTGTTAATGTCTGTTGAATGTTTGGATGGCAAACATTAATTTTTGCTATACGCGAACTTCCGGTCTCGTTACACCTGTTTTTAGCTGTAGGAAAAAGGCGACGAAGATCGGTCTTCCTATCCGTGTTTTCCTTATTTTGGCTTTTTGTAGCGCAAAACTCTGGTTCCGTTCATGCCTTTTGTACACAAATGCCCAGAATATGTTGCTAAACTGTTCTGTTTGGTATATTTGTTGAAAATCGTAACATGTGTCATCTAGAAATAGTCATGAAACCTGAGTGACATGTTCACTGCGCCGCAAATTCTTCGAACGTCGCCATTTGAACTTTCCTATTTTATATGAGATATTTTCATTTATTCGTATCTTTTTCGTTTCTTAAGTTATTTAACTAAAATTTTCAGAGATGATTTAAACATAGCAGCATCTAGGAAGTCAACATGACATGGTGCAGACACATCATCAGATATTTGAAATATACGTTATTAATTTCAGCCTATTCATAACAAAATGTAAATTATTTGACGTGCGCCGGCAACTCAAACCAATGTCGTTAATACTGCAATTTCTAAGTAATTAGGGTAAATTTTTTGTAAATGATTTGTTGTAATGTTAAATAATAAACTTAACGGTTATATGTGTGAATTATTTTCTATTGGCGTTAAAAATGAACATGCTATAAAATTTGTCACGGACTTTTGGGACAACCCTCGTATATATATCATATAAGGTTTAAAATTGTTGTGTAAAAATAGAGAGAATCTTTTGATAATTTCTTTGAAGAGGCACACAAAAAATTAGGTTGATGTGTTATGAATTGTCTGACAAGTGAATAGATAATGACAATACTGTCATAACTTAGTTTTAAAGTGAATTGAGTTCCACTTATGTTACATTGACTAGTCAGAAAAAAGTGTCTGGAAAACATATTTTCTAAGTTTTATTGTAGTTAATAACAGACTGCTCTTCTTATGCAAAAAAAAGAAGTAATTATATTTACATCAATTTTCTGTGGAATATAAACACAATGTTTAAACAAACTGCTCCTCTAGATGTACTTGTATCAAAATGAACTGAGAAAGTTTTTAGACTCTTGAGTGATACATTTATATCAAAATGTTAAATTGGATTTATATATATGTGTGGGGTCTTTAGAGATATTTCAAAGTGATATCAAAAGGGACTTGTTTGTATAAAGGCTCTACAGATTTATATCAGGAAGTTGAATATTTATCAAAATGATAAAAAATGGAATTTGTGTCTGTGTTTGATATAAAAATATATCAAAAAGCTATTAAATGGGACTTGTTTCTGTGTATGATGTAATAATATATCAAAAGGATATCAAATGGGTCTTGTGTCTGTGTATGATGTAATAATATATCAAAAGGATATCAAATGGGTCTTGTGTCTGTGTAGGATGTAATAATATATCAAAAGGATATTAAATGGGTCTTGTGTCTGTGTAGGATGTAATAATATATCAAAAGGATATTAAATGGGTCTTGTGTCTGTGTATGATGTAATAATATATCAAAAGGATATTAAATGGGTCTTGTGTCTGTGTATGATGTAATAATATATCAAAAGGATATTAAATGGGACTTGTGTCTGTGTATGATGTAATAATATATCAAAAGGATATTAAATGGGACTTGTGTCTGTGTATGATGTAATAATATATCAAAAGGATATTAAATGGGTCTTGTGTCTGTGTATGATGTAATAATATATCAAAAGGATATTAAATGGGACTTGTGTCTGTGTATGATGTAATAATATATCAAAAGGATATTAAATGGGTCTTGTGTCTGTGTATGATGTAATAATATATCAAAATGATATCAAATGGGACTTGTGTCTGTGTATGATGTAATAATATATTAAAAGGATATTAAATGGGACTTGTGTCTGTGTATGATGTAATAATATATCAAAAGGATATCAAATGGGACTTGTGTCTGTGTATGATGTAATAATATATCAAAAGGATATTAAATGGGACTTGTGTATGATGTAATATTATGTCAAAAGGATATTAAATGGGACTTGTGTCTGTGTATGATGTAATAATATTTCAAAATGATTTTTAATGGGACTTGTATCTGTGTTTGATATAATAATATATCAAAATGATATTTAATGGGACTTTTGTCTGTGTTTGATGTAATTATATATCAAAAGGATATTAAATGGGTCTTGTGTCTGTGTATGATGTAATAATTTATCTAAAGGATATTAAATGGGTCTTGTGTCTGTGTATGATGTAATAATATATCAAAAGGATATTAAATGGGACTTGTGTCTGTGTTTGATGTAATAATATATCAAAATGATATCAAGCTATATGTGATATGAGTATTAGAGAATAAAATCAAAATTTGGATATTAAAGAAGGAAAGATGAATGTGGATCAGGCTGGGACAAGAAATCAAGGTTTGAGTTGTAAAACTGACATGTATTATGACATGTCTATGTTGTATATAGATGAAATAAAAGAAATCTATGACAAAATCATATATGATTATGAATTTAATATGACATCAAAGAAGTTGAGGTTTGAATATCAGTGTTAGTAATGGATGTTAGTATATTATTTATAGATATAAGCTGAGATATCTAGGATAATGGACACTAATGTTTTGGTTCAGGGCAAATCTTTAATGTCATTAGAAATATAAATGATATTAACACAAACAAGATGGATATCATTATAAGAATAATATCTGTATAGTATGAAAATAGTATCAATGGACAGAGGGAAGTTATTGTGAATATAGAATATAGAATGATATCAATAAAAGATATCAAAAGATATCAAATATTGAGTTTTTAAATGAGTGTTTAAATGAATTCTAGAACTAGAATAAGATATTTACATTCAATGAGTAGTGGAATTCTTCCTCTATCACAGCATAACACACATGTATGTTTAATAGATTCACCCTTTCACTAATAATTTAATGGAATATCCTTGCCCAGATTTAAATTTGGAAGTATCTAATATTATTTTACAAATAAAACGGCTGCCACTCGATTTAACAATTTTTACATCATTCTGTGGCTTTGATGATTTCTCAGTATGTGCAAAATTATTAGCTGAATAGTACATTTTCTGACAAGCATGTGTCGGGGTTTTCGGCGACAATTTCTAGTTATTACAAAAGTTTGTTAAGTTAAAATTTGTTTAGGGTTTGCATTCAATGGTTGAAACATAAGAATTGCAGCCACCCTTTATTATTGCGTGATAATGTAAGAGGCCATTAAATGAATTCAATATGCATCTCTTAGCTCAGCACGCCCACCAAATTTTTTTTTTAAAGACATAGACCTTCTCAAGTAAAGTCTAAGAAAAAGCCTAAAAAGAATACTTAGAAATGTTTAAGGCAGTAAGAGGTCAATACAGTTTTATTTTTTTTATTTCATACTTTATGACAGTATAAGATTATAAATATCATGTCACATATTAGTTGCTAATTCGTATGAAAGTATAACTGAAAGACCCTCAAATGTGTAGTGAAAAGTTAAAAACTTGGTTACATTCACTTTGATTGTGTTATTTGAAACTAAAAAGTTACAGAAAGAATGATGACAGGCATAATTTTAACATCTGAGTCAGTTTGATACAAACAAGCAGTATAATTATGATCATTAAAAACTTAATTTGTAACACTGTCACTGTTTTTGACCCCTTATTATTGGCTAGCCAATAAGCCAGAAAGGAGCTTACATATATGTATGATTGCTACATTGTTTCTTGCCCTTTGTTGAAGAGAAAGCAGGTAGCAGTTTAATGCGTGTTGAGGTCTGTTTTCTTGTTCCATACATTGCCCTAAGATGTTTAAGGCTGTTTCTCTATGTGAAAGGTTTACATCAGTTACTATGGTTCTTATAAGTTTACTAAGTGCTTGTTTTTGATCTTGATGTCTTTGTAGATGCCTGTAGATCTTGTAGTGTAGGAAGTATAGAAAAGGTAGAGAATCAACTACAGCCCAGTCCATCCAATAGTCTATAAGCTGATCTCTATGTATCCTGTCATCTTGTGTAGATCTGAACATTTCATATTGTAGTTCATGAGGAACACAGTTGATCTCTTCCTGTATAAATCTGACACAGAATGATGTAATATGTTTGATACAGTCCTCACTTTGTTCACCACAGACCCTCTTGTATTCTGCTGTTACTGCTGGTAGAGGCTTATCCCAGCAGCCACAGATAAGTACAACAGGATAAGAGTAATATTGTTGTTCAGTGTGTCTCAGAATTAGTTCAGCTTTCTCCATATCTCCTGTACTGTAAAGCACTGAAGCCAATTTGAGTCTGCTAGATGATATATCTGAGTTTAAACCAGCTGATAGCCAAACCAATGCTCGGGGTGACACTTGATCATTTTCACCAATGCTGAATGATGCTAGGATAGATCCAAAGGTGGTAAAAAGAAAAGGTGCTAGAAACTTGAATGCAGCCTGATCTAATCTATTACCATTAACATTGAAAGTAATTAGTTTACCTATACAATGCTTCATTGTTCGAATGTTTTTATTTTGTAAATGTTTTAAAACAAGCATATGATTTAAGCTTTTAACGTATGCTTTGTTTAAATATTCTGAGGTCATAAAATGTTCATTCATTTCAATAGAAGATAGATATTGATATGCTCCATTTGGTACCATGTTCAGTTTAACTTGCAGTCTATGACCAAGATCATCAATATCAATTGTAAGTAACTTTTGTTTGTCATTCTGTAAAAAATCACTTATTTTTTTTAATAGTTCATGTTTTTTTTCAGCTGTAAATTGCCCTGCCATCAAATTATTTTCTCTGATAATGAAATGTGAACAACGGTCATTCTGTACACAGCTATGTAATTCTAATAAGCAGTATGTTAAGCATATAAATAAATTGTTCTCTGTCCATATACTTGACTCTGTGTTTTCTATACAGTGTAATAGAACTGTTTTACACATGAAACTTGATATATTGATTTCATCCTGAGGATTAAGGAAGGATTTAAGAATCATTTTCAATAATACATAGCACCTTATTTGTGTTATATTCAGATTGAAGATAAGACATCTTTCTGCCAATGTTGTAGATATTCTCCATTCCAGTTCAGGATATACACTGACTTTACTTCCAGTTGGAACTACAAAACACCCAGTACTGGCTGCATATCTTCTCATGTCTTGTGTTGGCCATCTGCCAATACCTTGTCTATCTAACAAACCTGATGCTGATTGATGCAAGGATTTACAGGGTAAAGCTAACACATGGTCTGAATCATATAGTCCATGTTGTCCTTGTCTAGCAAGTGATGGTCCATGCTCTACAACACCTGGCACCATACCATGTAATACTGTGTTTTTAAACAATATTCTTCCACTTCTATCAGTTATATGGTGTTCATTAGGAATGTAAGTGGCAGGAAGAGGTACTTCACGTAAGAGCAGTTGTAAGAAACAATAACCAGGGGTAGTGTTCTCATCCTGTATCATGAGATAGTTTCTCTTGCCATGTTCCCACTCTGACCAGTCTTGTATTATATTGTAAACATGGGAACAGACTAGTATATCAACGTCTGAATCAAGTCCTCTAGTAGTTGTACCTTCACTCTGACTACCTAGATAATATTGAGTCATGTTGAATGTATCAATTAACCTGTACATGATATTTTCCAAAGTCTCTTTCAGCATGTAATGTCTTCTTCTTCTCATCACCATTCTTTCATTGACACCAATGTCATCTAAAACCTCTGATAACATCAATGATAGGTTTTCTCTGTACTCATGTTCTTGAAACATTCTGTAATATATTAGTAAAAGGAAAAATGTTGAAGTCACTCACTAAATTTATTTTGTCACATACTTTTATTTGTTGCTTATTTGCCCTTGATGTCCTAGAACAGAAAGGAAAAGCAAGTATTGATATTATGAAATTTTCAGGTAGATATCAATTAAATAATAATAAAATAATAATAATATAATAATAATAATGATATTGTATAGATTTGTTCCTTTATCTACATGTATTTGTTTTGTTATTCTCCTAACTTTAATTTATTATTAGAATCAGGTTTTGTTATAAGGTTTTATTTTCTAAATACTTTATTGATGCAAATTTTTACTAAAAGTTTCTGTTATGGTGGATTTACTTCCACTATGTTGTGACTTAAAACTTTACTACTATAAAAAAAACTTTGTTTTTTCCATTTTTGTTAAAAAAAAAAACGATTTATCAGTAGTTAATTGAATTATGTCCCTTAAAATAGTTTTAGCTTTTTGCATTTCAGAGTTACATTTATGATAATTATTTAAGGCTTTGATACATCAATATATAGTTTATAAGTTTGATAAATTTTCAGTTTTTTTTTTTTTTTTTAAATTAACATTATATTACATTGTAACTTGAAGCAGACGCTTAACTTGGAAGCTACTTGAATCAAACACTAACTAAATTAATAATATAATATTAATATTGCATCCAATAAATTTCTGAAATAAGTTATTTACTCAAATGTGAAATTGTGTTTAAAAAGATAAATTTTAAACTTACTTTGAAAGTTATATTTGACACTATGTTTTGAACTTTCTGTTTGACAAGGTTGTAAGTTGGAAAGTTTAGTATTTTTACTTCCTCTTTTGGTTTTGAATGAAAATATAAAGGGGAGTAACTCACTTCATAAAATTTAATTTGATTTTTTTTCCCTGTTTAAATTTGTTTTTGCCTATTTTAAGTGAAAAACTATATAGGTATACAAAATAGTTATATGGCTATATCTCTTTTGATAAAATGTGTCATATATCTTTTTAGAATATGGTGATTTATTTTAATTGTACATTAATTTACATGCAATATTCTTTAAAAACAGGTCTTAATAAATTCTGTACTGTATAAATAAACTTTATTCTGTATCACTAGAAATGATACAAAAACTTGTCAAGAGTTTGAATAAAATAGACACAAGACATATACAAACCTATAGTCAGTGTACTTGTATGTTTTTCTAAGTGTATATAAATATCTGAAGAAAAACACTTGAAGCTTTTGGGTAAGACATTTAACTTTTCCATCTTTTTTGCCATATATATTTTCAGGCACTTGTTTTTAATATATAACCATATAAAATAAACATAATGACTCAATATTTTAACATGACTTTGAAGACTCTTTAATCAAACACAAACTAATTTGATAATTTGCATATTTACATTGAATATTTTCTTAAATAATGTACATTTGTATTTATTAAAATGTAAAATTATGTGTTTAAAGATAAATTTGAACTTACTTTTAAAGTTGTATTTGACAGCATCAGTACGTCTTGAAAATAATTGAGAAAAAAATATTGTGTTGACTTTCTGTTTGACAAAGTTGGAAATTCCTCTTTTGGTTTTAAATGAAAATATGGAAGGGAAATAACTCACTTCCTCTTCCTGTTGTTATGAAATTTAATTTGATTATTTCCCCTGTTATTTTTTTTGCTTATTTCAAGAGAAAAATGATATATGTATAAAAAATAATTATATGGCTATACCTCTTCTGATAAAATTTGTCATATATCTTTTTAGAATATGGTGATTTATTTTGATTGTACATTAATTTGCCTGCAATATTCTTTAAAAACAGGTCATAAAAATTCTGTTTCGAAATTTTTTTACTGTATATAATTATAAACTTTATTCTGTATCACTAGAAATTGTAAAAAAAAAACTTAAGTTAAGGATTTGATTTTATTTTGTTTTAGACACAAGACATATACAAACCTATAGTCAGTGTACTTGTATGTTTTTCTGAAGTGTATATAAGTATCTGAAGAAAAACACTCAAAGCTTTTGGGTAAGACATGTACATTGAACATTTAAATTAGCCTTAAAACACTCGAAGCTTTTAGGTAAGACATATACACAGCCCTCTTTTGGCCATATATTTTTCAGGCACTTGTTTTAAATATATAACCGTATAAAATAAACATAATGACTTAATATTTAAGACATTTAATGAAATGAGTAAAGTGTAACTGAAGAAATATATATTTATTGCAATAAATGTTTCTTCTTATGTAAGTTTTTAGGAGAATCAACTTTGTCTTGAAGTTAAGTCTTGATTTTCTCTCCTATTTAACAAATTAACTGAGTTTTATTGGATGAAAGAGTTATAAGTCACTAACTGAATATATTTGGCTTTGAGAAAATGCATTATCTATCAGTCTTTTAAAATATTTAAGACATCATGCCTTTGAGATTAAGTTTAAAAACCTCAGGGAAACTTTGGGACAGGGAAATAAACTTTAAAATTCTGATGGAAATTCAAAACATTACGTTTGAAGGGAAAACATCAAATAATAAATGTTAACAATTTAATTTGAAATTGAAAGTGTTAAATAATTTTATTGATGAATATGAATTCTAATGGTATATATTTAATTCTTCACAATTGAATTTGTTTTGTTTGTAGTTATGATGATAATATGTGACAGCTATGTGACACACTGAGTGATAATATTGACATTTTGATGAAAATAGGTGACACTGTTGGTACAATTAATTATATAGTGTTGAATGGACTAAGTGATATCCTTAGTGATAGCTTTAATTGGTATTTTAATTTAGATATTGATAAATAATTGAATGATATAAGCTATCATCAAAGTATAATGATGATAGAATTTATCTTAAATCTTTGATATGAATCACACTTGGTGAAAATATTTGATAATTTGTGACACTTGTTACAATGAAATGTGACACTTTGTGATAGAATGTGACACTCTTTATGATGCTATAGAGTCTAAGTAATGTGCTATTTAGTAAATTTTAGTAATGATAGTAGACAGTCTTAGTGAAAATATGTAATATTCATGGAGAAAATATGTGCCAACACTTTTGTATTAGATAAATTAAGCACGAAGTGTTAATTGAAGTGGCCTCCAGCTTTCCATTTTTTTTTTTTTTGATAAATTGTTTCATATATTGTCAGATCAAAAGAATTAAGGTGGAAAATACCCCTTGATACATGTAATCTACTGGTTTGCTCTTTTTTTTTTAAATTACCAAAGCAGACAAATTGTTTCCTGGTATTATTTTTTAGACAAAAGGTCAATTATGTGTTATAAATAGCTCAATGGGATGCTGTTTCAAGAAGGCTTTAAACAGTGATATGATGCACTTTTTCACAATAAAATTACTGAAATACTTAGTTATTGTTTTTTCCAACAGAAAAAAACCCAAAACAGAATGCTGCTTTAATGACATTCTTAGTGATAATATGCTATACTTCTGTGTACTGCAGTAAAACTGTGAAAGACTAAATCTTTACTTTATTAAGACTTGTTGGTATATATATGGTATTTTTTCATATACAGTAACTATGTAAAAATTGTTTCCATTTGTGGTGAAATATTAAGATATTTTTGATAGAGTGTTTGCAGGGGCGTATCACATTTCATTCTCTAATACTCATATCACATATAGCTTGTGCTGCAAGTTTGTTTTGATGATTTCTTGGTCAAGTTTGAATATGGGTCACCTGGGTCATTATTAACTGGCCAAATATAGAAAAAAACTTTGTTAACACTCTAGAGGTCACATTTTTGACTCAATTGTCATCAAACTTGGTCAGAATGCAGACATTGCTTGAATGTGGTTGATGGGTCAGGGTAGCGATCTAGGGTCATCATGGCCCTCTTGTTATTTTTCAAAGCAAAAACTGTTAACAATGAAAAGAGATTTTAATTCTGAGTGCATTGTTGAATGGTATTGCTTTAACATGGACTTCAGAAATCCATTACTGTATCACAAGAGCATGTAAATCGAATACTAGAAATTTTGGATATCACTGTCTAAAAAGCATACTTTCAGGACTGGTGCATTTTTAAGGTAAAATACGGTAATTTGAAATTCTATTATTTCAAATACATTGTAACTAGTATCTCACTTTTTCTGAATTGCTGTATGGTAAAAGTCTTTCACAAATTGAAGCTTTTCTAATGTGCTTATGGAAAAGTTCAGTGGAATATTGTGTTTTACATATGTGCCGCGCCATGACAAAACCAACATAATGTGTTTGAGACCAGCATGGATCCAGACCAGCCTGTGCATCCGCGCAGTCGGATCAGGATCCATGCTGTTCGCTTACAAACCCTATTACAAGTAGAGGTACTGATAGCGAACAGCATGGATCTTGATCAGTCTGGGTGGATGCGCAGGCTGGTCTGGATCCATGCTGGTCGCAAAAACACTATGTTGGTTTTGTCATGACGCAGCTCATATTACATTTTACATATTACATGTCATGTACTGCCAAATATTTGCCATGAAATCTTGGGTTATAAAGTCCTTTCTGTATAAATTTTGATTTTTAATTTAATGCATTAAATTTTGTGCTGTTATATTTTATTAATATGTTTAAGGATGTTATAATATTTTGGCACCAGTTCTAAAACTTAATTATCTTAAAGGTTTTTTTTTATTTTTGTTTTTGCTTTTAAATTATGATTGTGCAACCAGAACAGTCCAAGATCAGCAGGGGCTCACCCACATTCATTTTTCTCACTCATTTGGGAAAAGGCTTTAGCCTCTTGATTTTGGGAAATATTAATGCTAAAACTTGGGAATTTGGGAAGTTAAAATGCTGGTTTAGATTTTTTAGGAAAACTGCATAATTTTTAAGAAAATTTTAAATGGGAAGGCCTTTAATGGGCCCTTATTATATAAGGTGAAAAATCACTGACCCATACTGTCTGATCATGATGTACACAGTGTTTGATTTTCAATCAGTATATATTTTCAAATTTCCCCTAAAAATGATGAATAGTTTTGTCCAGATTATAAGATGGGCAAGTCCATTTAAGATTTTAAGTGTGTTTGGGTGAAATTATATTCTAGGTGGAGATTTCCAGGGTTTTGTTAAAAATATTGGCAACATTTTTGTTCGATGAATTAACAAGATTATTATGCTAGTTATTGTTGCTGACTCTAGGCCATCATATTTTTTTACCGTCCGTTTGAAACATATGATAATCTCCAGGTTGAAACATACAAATATCTGATCTTTAAAGTATACAGTTATATCCCCTTTGAAACACACAGTTATTTCCTTTTTGAAACATACTATAATCTCCCCTTTTAAACATACAATTATCTCCCCTTTAAAGTATACAGTTATCTCCCCTTTGAAACATACAGTTATCTCCCTTTTGAAACATACAATAATCTCCCATTTTAAACATATAATTATCTCCCTTTTGAAACATACAATTATCTCCCCTTTGAAACATATAATAACCTCCCCCTTTGAATGAAATTACAATTAAAATCCCCTTTGAAACATACATTTATCTCCCCCTTTGAAACATACAGTTATCTTTTTTTGAAACATACAGTTCCTCTTTGAAACATACAGTAATCTCCCCCTTTGAAACATACAATTCTCTGAAACATACAGTAATCTCCCCCTTTGAAACATACATTTATCTCCCCCTTTGCAACATACAAGAATTTCCCCTTTGAAACATACAATTCTCTCCCTTGAAACAACAAGACAAAATAATGTTCCAGCCAGTTTCAAAACAGGGAAACTTTTTAGAATTTGATAATGAGTACCATTCTAATTAAAATTGAAATGTTTAAAAGACTGTTTACCAGTCTTGGTTTATTCTTAATGACAAATTTTGATATTTTTTGCTCAATATACACCATTGGGGTAGAAAGCCAGTTTAGAAAATAGTTAGATTTGGTAAGATTTCATGTATGTAATATATATATATTTTGAAATATAGTCAAAATCCTTCAAATATTCCATGTTTGTACTTTATATATTATAAATTAATATAAGTATAAATTATTTAGTCTTCAGCCTGCAAGCCGGTATATAACTCGGTACTGATGGTGATTTTAAAATTTCTTTATTTACTTTTTAAATTGTGTAAGCTTATTGCCAATTTCAAAAACAAATCAGCATTGTAAAGTTTGATGATGACAAAATTAAAAAAAAAATCAAGTTAAAAATGTAAGATAGGGTAAACCCACCCACAGCTTACATGCTATATTCAAGGATTTTGACTGTATTTTCAGGAATGATGAGTGATTGTGGTGATTTTTTGTGCATGTAGTTATCATTCTTTTCTCTTTGAAACAAATCATCTGATTATATATTAACCATATTAATGTTTTTATTTAATAAACTAATATTTTTATATTTTTGTGACAACTGACATGTCATGTCACTAAGATATTCCTGTGATATTATTTGATCTACCTTGTTGTATAATGTACTTATTTTTTGTCTTTGGTGTGGCTTTTTTCCTTGCCTCCGACTTCTTTTTAATGTTCAGTTTTTTGTTGTTGTACTCTGCTGTCTTTCCCAAAAGTCTGTCTGTGTTGTAAATTGTTGTTTTTCTATCAATGTTTTGTTTTCTTTGTTTTCCTTGTTGCTTTTGGTCATTTTTGTACATGTATCTTAAGTCATAATTGATGTCTTTTGTTCTATTTGTTTTGTTGGTCTCCTTTATGACTTTGTTATGATTGTTGTCTTCGGTTTCCATTGTTGACTTTGGTCTTTTAGTACTCTCTTTGGTCTCAAAAGTTGGATCTATTGTGTTTCCTTTGGTCTTTCTACCTATCCTTTACCTACCCTTGCTCTTTGTCTTTCTTATCAACTTTGGTCTCCATTGTTGTATTTTTTCTTCTTTATCATGTTTGGATTAAATTTCCTAACTTTGTCCTCCTTATTAACTTTGGTCCCTATTGTTGTATTTTGTTGTTTTTTCTGTTAACTTTGGTCTTAATTGCCGTATTTTGTTCTCCTTGCTAACTTTAGTCATTATTGTTGTCTGTTGTCTTTTCTGTTAACTTTGATCTTGATTGATGTATTTTGTCTTGATTGTTAACTTTTCTTTGTCATAATCTTTGTCTTTTATTTTCACTGTTAAGAAATGAAACAAGTTTTTAGTTTTTATTTGTCAATTGAAAAGCAAGGATATAACAAGATAGACATTATGTTTATATTGTTTATTTTTTTAATGTAATATTAATTGTCCTGTCAATTTTGCAAAAACGTTTTTTACATTTTTATAGGTCATATGGACAGTTTACTATTTATAGCACTTTAAGTCCTTTGATATTGAAATACAAAAATATAGTTTGTCCTACGTAGTTAAGTTTGGCTCAACCAGTAATTGCAAGAATTGTATTTCAAGCTAAGTACATTAATAATTTTGGCCATTTTTCAGTCACTGGTTTGAGGTTTTAGTTAGAAATTCCAAACACATTTGTAAAAGAGATTGGAGGGTGTATTAATTGCAAAGCCTACAAGGTCATTATTTTAAAAAAAGGTCAAAGGTTGAAAATGGGTTTAAAAGTCTGGCCTGATAATTCTGAATTCAGTCGATATTTTAGTAATTATGTTGTTCGAGAGAATACTGTACATTGCCAAATACATGTATAATAATGGAGGTCTGATATCTAATATTCAATACAAAATGTCAAAGGTCAAGGTCAGAAAGTTGAAATTCAATGATTAAAAATAGTGTTTAGGCGTGTGATATTTTGTTTCTATATAAAAGGTAATATTTTATTTTCATGGGAGTTTGTCAATGTCATTCGGGTCCACGAATTTAGATTATATTGGTAAGACACATCTTCAATGCTCTAATCAGTTTGATTAACATTTTTTTTTTAATTCACCTTCTAGATTTTGATTCCTTACCTTTTGTACTATACAACTAGAACTTTTAAATAACTTTTTATTTTTTTCTTAAGGAGGCCTTCTGAAAAAAAAAACTGGAAGATTTTTTTTTTATTTAAAAAAATTATCTTTTACTACCTTTTTTTATGGCCATGTTTAATTGGATTGAATTTTACAATTAACCTTTTTCTCTGCCAAAAAATTAAAAAATAAATTTTTTTTTGTTTTTCATTTAAAAAATTTCAAAACCAAAAACCTTAAATTCCCCGTTTTAACCTTACAAACTTATCCCAGTCACAAAAATTTTTTAAACCTGATGTGCTTATTTTCAAAGCTGTAACTGTAAAATGTTTGTTCATACCCCAGAATTAACTAGGAAGAATCCAAAATATTCTTAATTCTGGAGTAAGTCTATTGCACTGTTATAACTTTTCATCTTCATGTCAAGATTTATATTCTGGTCAATAATTAGGGCAAATATTCGAAGGTTTCCTCAATGCAACAGTCATTGTTACTGCCGTTAAATTGGAAAATAGCCCAGAAAAATGTGACGCATACACTTAATGTTAACTGGGGAAAAAAGTTAACCAAATGATGAAATACTTTATTTTTATATAAATTTTGGTATGGGGGGCTGAGGTGATATTTGGATTTGGACTGAAACAGACATTTGTGGTTACTGGGGAACTTACTAAAATGGTTTGCATGTTTTCTTTGGGACTAATTAGAGAAGTTGTTAGTTTGTTATTGCTAAACTGAAAGTACAAAAACCAACCTCCTCATCCTTTATCATCAGCCTATTAATAAATAACAAATTCATCAAACCATCAAAAAACTTTTTTCGATTTTATTTCAGAATAACTAACAGTTTTTGAAAATTTTTTGCAGGGGGGGGGGGGGGGGGGGGGGGGGGCTGATAAGTTTTTTATTTTAAAAAAGGAAAAAAATAAAGAAAAAGTTTTTTTAAAAAAGGGAAAAAAAAGGGGGGTTTTTATTTGGGGAAAATTTTGAAATTTTAAATTGCAAATTTTTTGAGTTAAAAATTTTTAAAAAAAATGATTTTGAAAAAATATTAAACTTTATAGTTTTATTTAAGGGAAAATTTTTAAAAAAAAGAATTTGTTTTTCACCCAAAAAATTTTTTTATTTTTTAAAAGTTTTTCAAAAAAAAGGTTTGCAAAAAATTTTTTTTAACCCCTGAAAACTTTGTTTTTTGGGGGGTTTTTTTTGGGGGATCTTTTCCCCCAAAAAGGAACGTTTTTTCCCCTTTTTTAAATGGGGGCCTCCAAGTTAAAAACCCCTGTACCAAAGCTCCAGTAAAAAAGTGGCTGCAAATTTTAATTTTTTCATAAAATTTAAAAGACCCCCAAAGATAAGGATTTCCAAAAATGATAAAAACATAATAAATTTTGGCAGATTCAGAGTTAATCGAAAAAAGCAATAAATTGTTATCAGCCACATCTAATACATTTAAATATGATACTAAGTAGGATATCATGATATTATTATTTTCATTTATTGTAACAGTCTTTCTGACTTTATACAGTACATAGTTTTGTTTAAAGAGTTTTTATTCTCCTTCTGTAAGACAAGTGCATTATACAAATAAATACTTTCTTCGTAAAAAATATGCAGCTTAAGTAAATAGCTTTCCTTGTATTGAGAATTCTTAAGAAATGCATGCAAGTTGCCAGATTTCTTGGTTTGACATTGTTTAGCTCTGCATTTATCTACTCCTTTTTTTACTAGAATGTCTTTTTTCAAACTTCTTGTTGCTTGGAATTATACGTTACGTAGAATACTAATCCTCTGATATTTAGTGCATTTTGCATTTCTCTTTTCTTTTCAGTTACCAGCGACCTATCGTGCCAGCTCTGTATATCAGCATGCCACTGGTCATAACCAGTAACACCCAGTCACACGCCCATAGACGCTCTTTACACCTTCCTCACTCACACCCCCTAACACCGGTACCTTCCAACACACTTACATCAAACAGTCATTCTACTAAAATGAGCACCTCTGTTGCACACACTGTAGAAAATAACTCCACCCCTAGCTCACCTAGGCAAAGATCACTCACAATTAGCCACACCCATCCTCTAACGGCTCCGCCCATGTCTAAGTCATCACCATCAGATCACAGCTCTGAGCGTTCGCATTTTGCCTTTGATTTCACTTACAGCTCTCCTGTCCCAGAGGAAAACCTAGCGCCCTCCTCCCCACCAGTTTCACATGCACGTAGTACAACCTCCCCTATGAAAGTTACGGGGCCTCCAAGTGGACCGCCAAACAATAGGAGGTCCTCAGATTCAGATATGAGCACTCCGCCTAAAGGTAAGTTCTAGATTTTTTTAGAGATGATTGTATTACTTATTGTTTATTGTATTAGTTTTGAAATTTATTCCTAAACTAAGATCAAAATATATAAAAATATTGTTTATTGGTGGTCTTTACCATATAACAAAAAAAAATCACCTCTGAATAGGTTTTGCTTCAAAATCATTCTGTAAAAAAAAAATTTATTTGGGAAAGCTTCTACTGGCAGAAAATAAGGGTTTAAAGGGTTTTGGTTTTTGAAGATATTAAAGAGTGTTACCCCATGAAGAGGGAACCTGAGGTATTCCCCCAAACAGTAAAGCTGAAAAGCACCATAAAACTTTACGGGTATTTAAACCAAAAAAACCTTCCCAAACAAAAAAAATAAAAATTTTCCTTGCCTTTAAAAAGCGGGAAAAATTGCCATATGACCTTCCTTTGGGTCTTGCAACTAAAGCGCCCAATAAAAAAAAAAATTTTTATATTTTTGTTTTTTAAAAACATAAAAAAAACTTAAAAAAACCCCCTTTTTCCTGAGGACATCGGAATTGCTGTTATGAGTATTATTTTTTAAATTTTTTTTACAAATTTAAAACAAAGTTTACATTGTATTCTTAAACCCAAAGAGTAAAATTTAGCTGCCCCATGCCCTATGATGCATTATTATCAAATACATGTGTTACATTGTTACATGTTTTAGGGAGCAGTCTTGCTGGAAGCAGTGGAAGTGGGAGCGGAAGTGGAACCAAAAATTTCCCCAAACCATGCTCGCAGCAGATTAATATTGAACTTATGGTATGACCTTGAACTTAATTTTGAACTTATGGTATGTGTCACCTTCAACTTAATATTGAACTTATGGTATGACCCTTGACCTTAATATTGAACTTATGGTATGACCTTGAACTTAATATTGTACTTATGGTATGACCTTAAACTCATGAACTTAAAATCTTGTGTGATAGCTCATTTCCTTATTTTCTTTCTTCTTTAGATGAATTTGATGAAGTAAATTAGTTTCCTTAAAACCTTAATCATACTGAATACTATAATGTCATACAGTAGGTACAGGTAGGAGTGGATCTAAGATTGATTAAATATAATGCTTGGAAAACACAATGGGTCTTGATCTTTCAAAATCTATACTTAAGTTATGCCAGGCAGTTATGTTTAGTAGTAGATGAAGTGATATCTGTTTGAAAATTGAATTCCATTTGCCATCAGGTAACCTTTTGCATTAGGCAAATTTACAAAATATACATTGAAGGAGTTTTGAAAAAAAAAATTTTTTAACAAAAAGACTCCAAAGACACTTAATATTCTTGAGTATGCAATTTGAATGAAATGTTTTTACTTCAAGTATGTTATTTGAACTGAAATGGCTTTAGTTTATAACTTCTGATGACAATTTTTTTATGTTTTTTGTTTCAGGAGTATCCATTGTTTACAATGACATCTTTTCCTCCTGGTTTTATCATACATATAGGTGGTGTGGTTGCTGCCAGATCCATTAAACTTTTAGATAAAAAATCCACAATCCAGGTTTGTATTTAGTATTAATGCATTTGAATAAGTTTTGTTACTGATCTTTTTTTTCACTAGATCTTAAAGGGAATTTAACTCACCTATAGTGGTTGGGGCAGTTCTTTGTAGGTACGATTTGCATATAATCTTGATCATGAAGTAGAAGAATAAAACTTTTTTTTGCCAATTCTTACATTTTTCATTCATTATCATATATAAATAAGCGTGAACAGGTGAATTAGACATCTGATAGTGCATTTTGATATTTGAAAAGGCGAGATTTCAGCATTTGATCATCCAAGCGCCTAAATTAATGTCCTGTATATACTGGAATACGGTATTTAGTGTGGTGCACCTTGTCCGGTATATAATATGGTACTAAGTGTGGTACTCAAACACTTTTTTTAGTCTCGCTCATCTCAAAGCTTCACGTCTCGAGATTAGAGTCAATTTTTCCAAAAATTTCAAATTTGTTCCAAGAAATACAAATGATGCCAAGTAATAAATTATGATATATAAAGCACTTTTAGTATATAATAATTGAGCCGTGCCATGACAAAACCAACATAGTGGGTTTTGGACCAGCATGGATCCAGAGCAGTCTGCGCGAATGCGCAGACTGATCAGGATCCATGCTGTTCGCTGTCAGTTTCTCCACTTGTTATAGAGTTGGTAAGCGAACAGCATGGATCCTGATCAGACTGCGCATCCAGACTGCGCGGATGCGCAGGCTGGTCTGGATCCATGCTGGTCGTAAACCCACTATGTTGGTTTTGTTGTGACTCGGCTCAAATTTATTATGTGTTAATTATAGAGGAGCCAGAGACAAGAGATGCCTGGTGGAATGAGGTACGTACTGAGATTCGTTCGCATACGCGAGCCATGGGTTGTCACGCCGTCATTGGTTACTGTGAATTAACTTCTATCTGGTAAATGTATATTTATGTTTTCAAGTAAATATGTTTTACTTACTAAATTACTAGAATGAACTTTTCCAGCTTTCAAGTGTTTTAATATTTTTCTGGTTCTTGGAGCTCTATTTAGTGTTGAGAATTGATTACCTCTAAAGCCGGTGCTAGGGGGTGTGAGGGTATTGCACTTATTCATTATCCCCCATGTACAGACTCAATCAAACCGTCAAGTCTGCAATTTTCATGTAATTTTGTTGTGGTTAATGCTTCCAAGGGATTATGTTGTTTGCAGGTTTTTACCTTATATTCATGTATTTATTTAAGTGATGAATTAATACTGCTGTCAGCCACTGGCACAGCTGCCAAGGTCAACTTGAACCTAGACCAATATCTGCAACCCAAGGCCAACTCCCAGCAACTGGTGTCAGCCGGGGACCGGAATCTTGCAACGGAAAAAGAGAGGGACCAGGGGAAGAAACTCTTTGTAGATGTAAATTTAGCCAATCAGATGACGTTAAGAAGTGGTGGCAGGTAAATATTACAAACTGTTGTAGAAAAAAATTAAAAGATATGATTATTTATTTCACTACTTGGTTAAGGAAAGAATTGTATTTTTGGCCAAAAAAGAATGTTGAAATTGTTTAAAGTAAACTTTGGTGGTTGAAAGAGCACCATAAGTGTTCATATATCTTGAAATCAAACCGAAGAGGGGGAATAAGAATTGTAATAAGAAGTTCAAACTGATAATCAATCTAAACAAACAATTATTCTTTTTGTGTTGTTTCTAATCTTTTCTTACAGTTCAGAGGATGGCAGCCCAAGATTCGCATGTTCACTGTGCCATATTCCATACAAACCTAGTTCTGCACCATTTCCTATCAACCTGTCACAATGTGCATGTTGCAGGTATGTACATGTAGTATACTTAAAGTTTAATAAAGATTTTTGGTTTTTGATGATCCCCATATTTCCATTGGAGCATGTAGTTTTTGGTTCGTCCTTTAGCCCAGGTCCGTTTTCTCAATTCTTCCATCACACCAACTTACTATTTCTCAGAGTACAAATATTTGGAGTATTGGTACTTTTTATAAGTCCATGGATTAGTTGGTCCAAAGTCAAGGTGCATGTTTTGGTGTGGAGGGGTTGCATATTAATATAATAAAATATTGGGGGAAATCAAAAAAATACCCTTATTAGAAAAGTAAATATGAAATTTAAAATTTTTCGGAGGGAATTTGTATGATGATTTTCAACAATAAATCCAAAGAATAAAAAATTGGAAAGGTTTCATTTTTAAAAGCCAGGTTTGGTATGTTTAAGGTATTTGCCTTAAGATAAACTTTAAAAAAACAAAAATAATAAAATTTATCAAAAAAAATGTGCCCTTTTGCCCCTTTTTTGGGCTGAGGGGGGGCTTTTTTTTTTGGGGGGGGGGGGGTTAAAGGATAGAAAAAAAATTTAAATAAAGGGAAAAAATTTCTAACATTTTATTAAAATTTAATCCAGATGGGGTTTCCCCTGGGTTGCAAAGTTTTAAACCGGTCACCAAAATTCCCCGTTTGGTGCCATACAGCCCAAACTGTGTTCATTTGCAGTAAAACTTAACAAAAACAAAACAAGTGCTGCTTTTGCTACTTTGTAAAAATTGTATTGCATGGCCATGTATATATTTACTTTTTACAAAGAAAAATACAGGCTTAATGTTAGAACACCATTGGTGTGTCAATAAAAATGTTATATATTTTTACTGTAAACAGTCTTTATTTTGGATATGTGATAAATAGTAAATTATATTTTGTGTGTTGATTCAATACTAAATTTATTGATTTCATTGAAAAAAATGATATGCTCATCAGAGGCTCACATAATATAATTTTATTCAACTTGTTTAATGAATTCAGTATTTTAACTTACACTTATTCAATACTCTCTTTTTATTTAAACCTTGCATGATCTTAGTATATAATAACAGAAACATGTAAAGAAAAAAAACAACAACAACAAAAAAACAACAAGAAACAAGGGTAAGGGGTCATGTTTTGGAACAAAATTTGTATCTTCATCTGCAATGTTTGTGAGTAAAATTTTTGTCTTCAAATGATGTCAAAATTTCATTATCAATTTGCAGTTATTCTCAAAAGCCTTTTTCTGGATTTATAGTCAAATCAAGGGAGGTAATTATGTATGTCTGGAAAATTGTGTACAGTAAGGGAAACTATCTCTTTATAATTCTTCCTGAGATTTCACAAAAGAGGAATGTGTTTTTCTCCCTGTTTTTACTATATTTTTCCTTTATTTTTGCTACATTTTTTCCTGTTTCTTTACAGAGTTATAAGACCCAAAATAAACAGCAAAGCTGAAGCAAATGCAAAAGAGATTAGTGATGTAAGTTATTATAAAAATATTTCAGCAAAGTTTTACAAGTGTTTGGGAAGGGAGACAACTCTTCAATAAAAAAAAAGATAATAGTTTGTAAATAATAGTTTGTAATTGGTGCTTAGTTCTTCGCATTTTTTTCTTTTTTAGAAGGAATTAATCATTTTAGAAAAATGGGGCCATTTTTTATTTTAAAAATTCTCTTTTTTTTTTAGAATTTAAAGAACTCACTATAAAAGCCTTTAAAAATAAAATTTAATTTTTCATAGAAATTGGGGCAATTTTTAAAAAAAAATTGAAAAAAGGCTATTTTTAGAAATTCTAAATAAAAAAGTTTTATCTAAATTATAAGGGAACATTAAAAATTGTTTTTGTTTCATTTTTAAAAAAAATCATAATTTTTCAAAAAGCATTCATTAATCCAAACAAAATTTTTTAAAGCCATCCAAGAAACTATGTTGCTATTTTTTAAAATTTTATGCTTTTTTTAGAAATGAAAATTTGCAAATTAGTTGCTTTTTTTTTTAAAATAAAAATTTTTACTTGTTTCAAGAAAAATTAAATTATAGAAAATAATATTTTCATTATTGTGGGGAAAAGAAATCCGTCCCCGGGGGGTCCACCTTTGAGGTAACGAGCGAGACAATGCCAAGTTACAGGCAATGGGCAGGTTTCAACATATTTCTTGCATATTCTACCATATTACGTCATATTTTAAATTCTTTAACTTAATGAAACAATTATCCATGGAAATTTATGTTATTACACCCATAACTATTTTCTTACAACAGCATATGAAATGACAACTTCATTCATATCGGTGAAATTTCGTCATCTTAAGCATGCCATAGTATACCACATGACTCATCTGGCATCCTCATGCTGGGAAGAGTAAAACTAACGGAAACTCAAGTCTGATATGCAAGATAATTGATTGACAAATCCTGTTGTGAGAATAACTTACTTCTTGTTTGTTTTCAGATTCTGCCATTTCTGGAATATGATCTACACAATCAGTTAATGAACAAACTTAAAGTAAGTAAAAATCATTATCTAAAAGCAAGTTTTATAAGTTTAAAAAGAAACAGTTTACTATTTGATAAATCGGATGAGAAATTTTTTGTTTTTAAATTTTGATAATGAAATTTTTCCATTGTACAGTTTTTCCATTTATAAACTTTGATAATCCAATTTTTCCATTGTAGGCTTTGATAATACTGTTTTCCATTTATAATTTTTGATAATCCAATTTTTACATTATAAACTTTGACAGTTTTCCATTTATTAATTTTGATAGTCTAATTTTTTCATTATAAGCTTTGATAATTCAATTTTTCAATTGCCAGCTTTGATAATACAATTTTCCATTTATATATTTTGAGAATCCAATTTTTCCATTTAGAATTTTTGATAATACAATTTTTCCATTTAGAATTTTTGATGATACAATTTTTTCATTTAGAATTTATGATAATACAAGTTTTGTTACAGATGCGAAGTATGAATGGATTGTTTGGACTGAAAATGCAGTTTGTGGTGGGAGAAAGCATGCTGATTGGAATAGCTGTAAGTGCTCTTCTACTTATCCCCCTGTTATAGAATGAAATGAGGTGTAGGAGACTCTGAGGTTGAGTGGTTAAGGTTTCTGACTGAGCGTCACTTGAACCCCATTGCTGTGGGTTTGAATCCCATCAGTGAGTTAATGTTCTATCATGTAAAGAAGTTATCTGGCTAGCTAACAGAAAATTAGTGTTTCTACTTGGAGGTGTTCTTTGTCCTTAAACAACACAGTGTCCACATGACTAAAGCCCATTAAGTTCATTTTAAGTAAATGACGTCACGTTGTATTATTATTTGGTGTGCTTTTCATTCATTTTTAGGTTTAATGTCTTTTTAAAATGTTTCTTTGCATATAATAAAAAGAAAATTTGTTTAGTTTAGTATAAGATCGAAATATATTTCAGCTTGTGAACACCAAAAGTTCATATTTCACTCGTGGCTGTGCCACTCGTGAAATATACCTTTTGATGCTCACTCGGTGAAATATATTCCTATCTTACACTGAACTAAACAAATATCCTCTATTTAACTGTTGAGCGCTAACACCACATGCAGTTGTCTTGTTATCTCTCGCTTTTAATATTCTAGTGGAAGAAAGTGAGGTTGTTCAGGACTTTAATCTATTTACTACATTTGAGTTCTTGCAATTGAAGAAGCTATCAAGTTAGTTAACTGACCTGTAGATTTAAAGAAACATGATAAAAGTTAAATAAAGTGCAAGAACAAATTTTTTTTTTTTTTTTTTCATCTTGCTGTGTTTTATTATTGTATATTTTGTGAGCTGTGTCATGACAACACCAACGTAATGTGTTTGCGACCAGCATGGATCCAGACCAGCCTGCACATCCGCACAATCTGATCAGGATCCATGCTGTTCGCATACAAAGCTTATAACAAGTAGAGAAACTGATAGTGAACACCTTGGATCCTGTTCAGACTGCACGGATGCACAGGCTGGTTTGGATCGATGCTGGTCGCAAACGCACTATGTTGATTTTGTCATGGTGCGGCTCATATTATATTTGTGTTGTTGGTTATTCCAGTCAGCCACTGGAGCGTACTTGGTGCCACTACCACCACCACCTGTACCGAGGCTGTTGGGTCAGATCACCTCGGAGGAGGAAAATGTGGCGTTACTTGACCTACAAAAGAAGCTGGCCGAACAAATACAGCGTAATAAAGATCTTTATCAGCTAACTGGAATTGTAAGTCATTATATGTATTTTTAAGGAATAGTATAATATAAAAGTGTTTATTATATACCTATAAATTTTCTCCCTAAAATACATGCAAATTTGGAAGCACGAATACACTTCAACAGATAGAAAATTCTGTATTATGTTAGTGACAAAAATATTGAAGTGCCAGACTATTTATGATGTTAGTTCCCATCTTAGTTTTGTATAATGTAGCATATGGAAACAGGAACCAAAATTTACGTATTCATCCGTCATTCATGAAGGCTACATTTCATTTCCTGAAATTACTTTAAGAAGTAAGTATATTGAAACTCCTTTTACTTAAAATGAATAGGTATATAATTAAAAGGAAAATTATGATGAAGTAAGTTTCTGAAGCCATCTATTTTGCTCCTTGCAACGTTGGAAAATTGATATCTCACTTGACCTATGGTCTCACAAGATATAAATTTTCCAATGCTGCTCGTTGTAAAATACAAAGCCTGGGAAAGCTGCTACAACATAATATTCCGTATTATTTTACCATCAACCCGCCTTGTAAGGCAATAACAATTGGAGGTTATCAAATAATGTAAATAAACGTTATTGTACAGCTTCACAAAATATTTCAAAATCTTGTGGTATCGTGATTGTAAGTGATTGTAAGTGATTGTTATTAGCCATCTGTAAACCAGTTTGTTGTGGCTTTTATTTCCATTAGTCAAATTATGGCCAACATATGAATTTATGCATCAATGAACAATATGACTCAATATTTTACAAAAGAAAACTGGTTTATTATGAATAACACTATTATTTACATACATGTATATTAAAAATAACACTATTTCATGTACATCGTATATTGCAAATTGATATAGTATTTGCTTTTTTTAATAAAAATGAATATATTTCAATAGAATTCATCCATTATTATAACTTATAACAATATTCATGTCAATCTAGATATAGTGGTCTGACTGTAGCGGTCATTTTAGCTCAGTCCTCTTACTGACCACTAAAGTGACTATAGGCAGGTTTGACAGTATGTGCTACATGTGTATAGTTCCTAGTACCTCCAAGCAATTCAACTTGATATTTGTTGGTACAAACAATTATCACTGCAATTGTATTCATGTTGATGAAACTCGAAATTTGTCTGCTAATGATATAACATGAACTTAATTGTTTGACATGATGGTATGACGCGATGACCCTTCAATAACGCACTTTCTGCAAAGCTGACTTCAAATTTTTGATGTACAATATTGAACTGCCCGAACAGGAAGAAACACAAGAAGCAGTGAAGTTTTACGCCTGCAAGTTAATATATTCTGCAATAAAAATTATATGAAAACTTTCTAGAAGTTGCGTAGACAAGGGAAATGAAGAAATCTGCTGTCTTCAAGTTATACATAGGTGTGTGACGAAACAGGGTCTTTGAATTTAGCTTCTTGTCTTGTTTTCTTCATACATTTATACACATCCTAGCGATTTATCTAATCATTACTTTTTGAACATTTTGATAAAGTTATCTTCATTTGTATCATTCCCAGAGCTACTGCTTACGTACAGTGTACATCTTTCGGCAGACCAGAAGACATTCTGGGGCTTTTTTATATCCTTAACGACAATCTCCCCTTCAGTAAAGTCCTCAGATATCTCTTCTATGGCATTGCTGTCAAAATTACAAAAATATAAACTCCCATCTTCTGATGTTGCCAAGCCGTAAGGTTGTCCTGAACAAACATATTTGCCTTTCACCTCACCCTGCCAGTTTAACTTGGTAACAGTTTTCATTTCAGTATCAGATACATAGATACAATTGTCACTTGTTGCAATATATCTTGGTGTTTTGAATATATGTTCATCTTGTATTGTCTGTAATAAAGTTCCATTGATAAGGCGGATTTGAACTTTTGGAGGATGCAAAAATGACACAACCATTTTATCATTATGACAGCTAATACCGAAACATGGTCCATCTACATTCACAGTGTACTTATTGCGGAAGTTATTTTGAGATATATTTATAAACTGAACAGTAAAGTTGCTTGGGAGTGTGACTGCTACTTCATTTTGTGAAACTGATGTGACATCAGAAGGTTGACTCGCAAAGCTTTGCTGAGCTAGTACAGACTTTCTGTTGATATCAATCATTTTTATAGCATTGTTAAGCCAATCTGTGACGATTAAAAGATCAGGAGTAAGGAGAGTCATTCCTTGTATATAGCAATGGTCCTTATCTTGTGATGTTTTGATACAGATATTATCCATATGTAACTTTTGTCTAGACTTCAAATCTGGTTTTAATGTTTTGCTGCTCAATGTCCCAATGGATTTCTCTTTAACAAGTAGTTTTGATATTGCCTCATTTGGTTCAAAGTTGTATTCTTTGACTTCAGTTTCTGAGAGCAAGGCAACCTTCTGCTCATAATATTTTATCATCTGTTTGGCTTGTTTTAGTTCCATGAACAAATCATTAGATTGTTTGGATGTGTTGAAACGTTTAACGGCATCCAGTGATGACTTCAGACGTATTTGTACATCTCCACATACTGTTTCTACTTTCATCAAAGCCTTTCTATTGTCTTTTTGGATGACTTGTGCAGCCTCCTTGACTTGACTTTCTAATTCATCCAGTCTTTGGTTGATTTTTGTCCGGAATTTCTTTATGTCTGTCAAAGCATCTGATAAAGATTTGCTTGATTCATCATTTTGTTTCTTAATGTCTTGAAGTGTTTTGCTAGATCTTTCTGTCATGTCATTGATATCCTTCAATATATCTTGATATTCTTTGCTGTCTGTGACCTTGTCTGAAATGTCTGGTATATAATTGACTTTGCAAGATGCTGCAGTATGGTCAAGTGTGACACAAACACTACAGAGGAAAGCCTCATGGTCATAACAGTAAAACTTGATCATCTCCATGTTGTGTTTAGGACATGGTTTTGTGAAGTTATCTGATTGTCTTGGAGTTACAGGTGACAGAGTCTGAGGCATGCTAGATTTGTCTTGTAGAGTATGGTGTCTTGATAATGTATGTCTTTTGTGTACTGTAAAGCATGTTTCACACAAATGCTCTAAACAGTTTGTACAATAGCCGTGAGCAGGAAGTCTAGGTCCATCTCGATCACATGGCTGACAGTAAACTTTGAGATCTTCATCAGAACCCATAGAAGTTGTTGATGATGAAAATTGTTTGGTGGCTTTTTTACCTTGGACAGCCATGACTTCTCTGAAAGTAGAATAATCAATCTGATTAAGCAATAAAATAGCATTTATAGACTTGTGTCACATGTAACTTCAAAAGTAGAACACCTTTAAGAACCATATGGAAATTGGCAGAGAAGTGTCGCTTGAATCTTGCTAAGAACAGTTGTTAGCATGTGAACTTATGCACCTGTGTACATGTTATACTATATTGATGCAAATTCATTTGTGATCAACAAGGTTATGCCTCTTGCTTCTGCAAAAAGAGTTATTATATACCCTGTTGTTATTAGCAAACAGACCTTAAAATCTGATTGTCTTGTCAGAAACATATTTTCTGTGTGCATATATAATTATTACTTGAATCAAATGTTTACCACTATGCGCCATGGCATGCATGTGAACCTGGATGCTGTCTATCAACGGTCGTATGACCAAATACGGTCTTAGCTGCGACTGAGGGTGTAGAACCGTGTTCATAAAACAGTGGAAATTGCAGGCTCGGTCCTAAGTATAGAAAGTAAGATAAGATAGCAGTTATGACTGTCTTTGTTGATAAAACGGCACCCAGGTCTCTAGGCAGTTATGACTGTCTTTGTTGATAAAACGGCACCCAGGTCTCTAGGCAGTTATGACTGTCTTTGTTGATAAAACGGCACCCAGGTCTCTAGGCAGTTATGACTGTCTTTGTTGATAAAACGGCACCCAGGTCTCTAGGCAGTTATGACTGTCTTTGTTGATAAAACGGCACCCAGGTCTCTAGGTCAGTGGTTAATTTTAAGAGAGTATTGTGGTTAATTTTAAGAGAGGATTGAAAAAAGCTTTATAAGCTTCTGACTCAATCAGTAAAATTGATCTTTATGTAATTTATTAGCTCGACTTTTCGATAAGAATAAGTAGAGCTATTGTAGTCACCCGAGCATTGGCGTCGGCGTAACCACTTATGTTTAAGTTTTTGTAATACCTCAAATATTTTCAAAGTTCATTGACATATGGCTTTGAATCTTTGCACACTTGTTCACCATCATGACCCCAACCTGTAGGCTGGAGGAGGTAACTGTATCAAGCATTTTGACAGAATCATGCCCTATTTTCAACTTAGAATTTACGTGAAAGTTTTTGTAATACCTCAAATATTTTCAAAGTCCTTTGACATATGGCTTTGAAACTTTTCACATTTGTTCACCATCATGACCTCAACCTGTAAACAGGAGGAGGTAACTGTATCATGGATTTTGATAGAATTATGTCCCTTTTTCGACTTAGAATTTACGTTAAAGTTTTTGTAATACCACAAATTTTTTAAAAACAAATATGTAATATAAATATGAAAGTGGGCGGAGTCAAATCTCATATTTAATTTAAGGGACTTCTTTCGCCATTTTGTTTGAAAAATCTGATAAATACAAAACAATTTTTTGTTGAATTTTGTTTTGAAAACTATTTAGAATGATAGAAAATGGTCTAACTAAGAAAATAAATCCGAACACCAATATCTTTAATTCAGTCACAGACGTTTAAAGAGTTTTTTTACGTGACGTCACAATGTAGTGCTAAATATGGCAGTAGTGCTAAATATGGCGTGCAAAACAAGACAATAATTATATTACTGCGTGCTGTACAATTTCAGTTGCGTAAGCAAGCAAAGGGGTTTGTAACCATTTTTCTTTGATAATGAAATTAAATAAAAAGCTTATTTTTTCGTTTTGCGTGAAATATGGTTTATATTTTCACTCAACATGATAAAATGCCACATATTTTCACTCGCCGTCCCGGCTCGTGAAAATATGTGGCATTTTATCATGTTGAGTGAAAATATATTCCATATTTCACTCAAACGAAAATATATCCTCTTATTATTTTGATGTGTACATCATATAAGACTGCAAATTGGTAGCTAAATTATTAAAGTGTTCTTAATTTCTACCTTTGTAAAAATCAATTAGTAGAAAAAGATATAAAGTTAATTCAACCAAAAAATCTGGATTATCACAATAATTTACCTCACAATTTTTCAACAGTTTCAAATTACATACCTTAAATAATTTCCGAAGTTAATTTGCAATGGTTTCTTCAAAAAAAAAGAGAAAATCTAAAAAATTTAAAAATCAAATATGTTTTCCTTCAATCTTGAATGATTAAATTCTCTTTAACCAGGTAACAAGTATAAACAAGTTGGAGAGAGTTGCGTGTCTTAAAGTAATTTTTACTGATTGAAACTTGCATAACAATTAGAGTAAAGTCTACTTGTTTTATAGGGAGGTTTAAGTGTGTGAATAGGTTTCTGTAGTACCCTGGACTATTTACATTTCTGCATATGAATACCCAAGTTGAACATGATTAAATATTTACATTAACGGCTATACAAATATAATCAATTTAATCATTTTGAATTTGAAAATGAAAAAATGTGACTAAGTAACAAATCATCACCTTAGTGCAGTAACGGAATAAGACCTTATAAATTTTATAGCATTTAATCAGTTATTGCACTGACCTGTGACATAGTGCTTTGCTTATATATTTATTATGTGTTATAAATCAATATGTTTCTAAATATAGCAAAATATATGTTTTATTTACATGAATGAATGGAGTTGATTTGATTATCACTGAACTTAAGGGTGATGATTTAATTACAAGTGTATAACAATTAATCACCCCTCAGCCTTAACCTCTTTTAAGTGCCCCTGAGAAAATGTTAAAGTCACTGTACGACAGAAAAACATCAGTTTCAAACATTTAAATCAGTGTTTTTAGGAATTTTCTTGTTGTACTTAATATCAATTAAATTCATCAAAATAAGTTTGGGGCTTCTTTGGCCGAGTGCTTAAAGTTGTTGACAACAAACCACTTGCCCCTGACCAATATGGGTTACATTATCTTGCCAGAGACTTGTGAGGAAGCTATCCAGCTAACTTAGGAAACTACGGTGGTTTAATTCAGGTGCCTGTTTGTGCCTGAATATCGCATGGAGGGGCACCTGAGGTCTTCCTCCTTCAGTAAAGCTTGAAAGTTGCCATATGACCTATACTGTGTTTGTGTGATGTGAAATCCAAACGAAAAAAGAAGAAAACAAATCCTCGTTAATTAATGAGTGATGGAATAAAGATTTGTATAGGTTTTTGACAAGTGTGATTGTGTATCTTAAAAGTTACCAAATTTTTATGCCCCCCTTTGAAGAAGAGGGGGTATATTGTTTTGCTAATGTCGGTCTGTCTGTCGGTCGGTCCATCGGTCTGTCCGTCGGTAGACCACATGGTTTCCGCTGATTATCTTGAAAAGTATTTATCACAAAGTCTTCATATTTCACATAGTGATTGGTCATAACTAGTAGAAGACCCCTATTGATTTTGGGGTCACTAAGTCAAAGGTCAAGGTCACAAGGACCTTAAATATCAAAATGGTTTCCGCTGATTATCTTGAAAAGTTTTTATCACAAAGTTTTCATATTTCACACAGTGATTGGCCATAACTAGTAGATGACCCCTATTGATTTTGGGGTCACTATGTCAAAGGTCAAGGTCACAGGGGCCTTAAATGTCAAAATGGTTTCCGCTGATTATCTTGAAAAGTATTTATCACAAAGTCTTCATATTTCACATAGTGATTGGTCAATACTAGTAGATGACCCCTATTGATTTTGGGGTCACTAGGTTCCAAGGTTAAGGTCACAGGGGCCTTAAATGTCAAAATGGTTTACGCTGATTATCTTGAAAAGTATTTATCACAAAGTCTTCATATTTCACACAGTGATTGGTCATCACTAGTAGATGACCCCTATTGATTTTGAGGTCACTTAGTCAAAGGTCAAGGTCACAGGGACCTTAAAATGTCAAAATGGTTTCCGCTGATTATCTTGAAAAGTATTCATCACAAAGTCTTCATATTTCACATAGTGATTGGTCATAACTAGTAGATGACCCCTATTGATTTTGGGGTCACTAGGTCAAAGGTCAAGGTCAAAGGGGCCTTAAATGTCAAAAGGGTTTCCGCTGATTATCTTGAAAAGTATTCATCACAAAGTCTTCATATTTCACCTAGTTATTGGTCATAAGTAGTATATGACCTCTATTGAATTAGGGGTCATTAGGTCAAAGGTAAATGTCACATGGGCCTTAAATGTCAAAATGGTTTCCGTTGATTTTTCCATAATTGAACACTTCCATGTACCCATTTTTGGCAAGTTTCTGTGAGTCAATGGCTAGAAAGGGGGGTATATGTGTCGTTTGACATTCTTGTTTAATAGTTGTATTAACTAGAAAAAATATTACCTACTGTAACACCATCTTCAATCATTCTCATCATGTAAGAAAATAATATTAATTCACTTCTGGTAGATTCTCTTTATGTTAAATATAAAAAGATGAATACAATTAAAAGAAATAGAGGGAGAACTGTCATTATTTCAAATTTGGAGAACTGTCAGGGGAGTAAAAAAGTTTGTTTTAGAGGAGGAACTTAAAGTCAGAGGGAAGAACTAGTCAGAGGGGATGAACTAGTCAGAGGGGAGGAACTAGTCAGAAGGGAGGAAGTAGTCAGAGGGGAGGAACTAGTCAGAGGGTAGGAACTACTCAGAGGGAGAAACAAGTCAGAGGGTAGGAACTAGTCAGAGGGAGGAACAAGTCAGAGGGAAAAACTTATCCAGGGAGGAACAAGTCAGAGGGGAAGGAACTAGTTTAGGGTAGAAACTAGTCAGGGAAAGGAACTAGTATGTGGGAGGGTCTAGTAAGGGGGAGGAACTAGTCAAAGGGAGGAACTATTCAGGGGGAGGAACTAGTATGGAAGAAAATAACATGGAATTTGTGTGAAAAAAACCTTTTAATGTAGAAAACAGCTTCTCAGATCCTCATGCACCACATGTGAAATTAGTTTAATATACATGTACAACTTATTGATAAAGAAATAATTATCAATTTCGTCAGTCTCCTCTGATTGAAGAAGATCCACTGTAAATATACCTTATTTTAAGCAGTGTTCATAGTTAATACAGCTATACAAAATTCATACAAAAGTACATAAACACATACTGTTTATTTATTCAGTTGACTTTTTTTCCGTGTCAGTCTGTCAAAAACATTCATCTGCATCATTTTCTCATGACTGGCACTAAACTTTACTTTAACAGGGTTTTGTTGAAAGACAGCTTTTTTAATAGCAGCATTTTTCTGTGTCAATTTCTGTTGAACTTCCGTCTTTCCAAACCTTTGTGACCTTTTCTGAACAGTTACTGTAGGTTTCATAACAGTAGTTTGGTTTCATTGACATGCATTAATTTTGATTCTAAGAATATTTTCCTTGTTAGTTTGCTTTGACGGATTATGTTTAGATTGTTTCTTTGATAAATCAGGCATTTCTGTTGATTTTTCTGTCACTTTGGGTTCATTTATCTTTTCTATTGGCATTTCCTTTGCCTTTGCTTTGGGTTTGTCTGTAGTTTCTAAATCCTCTGTCATGGAATGATCTGGTATTTTATGAGGAGATATGTTTGAGAGGTCTTTGTTGAATGCTTATTTCACTGTTTCAAGTGATGGTTTTAAGTATTTTTGCATTATATCAAAATCTTCATCTAGATTTTGCTGTGATTCAATTTTATTGCAAATTGATATAGTATTTGCTTTTTTTAATAAAAATGAATATATTTCAACAGTATTCATCCATTATTATAACTTATAACAATATTCATGTCAATCTGGATATTGTGGACCCATGTCTGTAGCGGTCATTTTAGCTCAGTCCTCTTACTGACCACTATGGTGACTATAGGCAGGTTTGACCGTATGTACTACATGTGTATAGTTCCTTGTACCTCCAAGCAATTCAACTTTATATTTGTTGGTACAAACAATTGTCACTGCAATGGTATTCATGTTGATAAAACTTAAAATTTTGTCTGCTAATGATATAACATGAACTTAATTGTTTGACATGATGGTATGACGCAATGACCCTTCAATAATGCACTTTCTGCAAAGCTGACTTCAAATTTTTGATGTACAATTTTGGCCTGCCTGAACAGGAAGAAACACAAGAAGCAGTGAAGTTTTACGCCTGCAAGTTAATATATTCTGCAATAAAAATTATATGAAAACTTTCTAGGAGTTGCGTAGACAAGGGAAATGAAGAAATCTGCTGTCTTCAAGTTATACATAGGTGTGTGACAAAACAGGGTGTTTGAATTTAGCTTCTTGTCTTGTTTTCTTCATACATTTATACACATCCCAGCGATTTATCTAATTATTACTTTCTGAACATTTTGATAAAGTTATCTTCATTTGTATCATTCCCAGAGCTACTGCTTACATACAGTGTACATCTTTCGGCAGACCAGAAGACATTCTGGGGCTTTTGTATATCCTTAACGACAATCTCCCCTTCAGTAAAGTCCTCGGATAACTCTTCTATGGCATTGCTGTCAAAATTACAAAAATATAAACTCCCATCTTCTGATGTTGCCAAGCCGTAAGGTTGTCCTGAACAAACATATTTGCCTTTCACCTCACACTGCCAGTTTAACTTGGTAACAGTTTTCATTTCAGTATCAGATACATAGATAAAATTGTCACTTGTTGCAATATATCTTGGTGTTTTGAATATATGTTCATCTTGTATTGTCTGTAATAAAGTTCCATTGATAAGGTGGATTTGAACTTTTGGAGGATGCAAAAATGACACAACCATTTTGTCTTTATGACAGCGAATACCGGAACATTTTCCATCAACCTTCACAGTGTGCTTATTGCGGAAGTTATTTTGAGATATATTTATAAACTGAACAGTATAGTTGCTTGGAAGTGTGACTGCTACTTCATTTTGTGAAACTGATGTGACATCAGTAGGTTGACTCGCAAAGCTTTGCTGAGCTAGTACAGACTTTCTGTTGATATCAATCATTTTTATGGCATTGTTGAACCAATCTGTGACAATTAGAAGATCAGAAGTAAGGAGAGTCATTCCTCGTATACAGCAATGGTCTGTATCTCGTGATGTTTTGATACAGATTTTATCCAACAGATGTAACTTTGGTCTAGACTTCAAATCAGGTTGTAATGTTTTGCTGCTCAATGTCCCAATGGATTTCTCTTTATCAAGTAGATTTGATATTGCCTCATTTGGTTCAAAGTTGTATTCTTTGACTTCAGTTTCTGAGAGCAAGGTAACATTCTGCTTGTAATCTTTTATCATCTGTTTGGCTTGTTTTAGTTCCATGAACAAATCATTGGCTTGTTTGGATGTGTTGAAATGTTTAACGGCATCCATTGATGACTTCAGACTTATTTGTACATCTCCACATACTGTTTCTACTTTCATCAAAGCCTTGCTATTGTCTTTTTGGATGACTTGTGCAGCCTCCTTGACTATACTTTCTAATTCATCCAGCCTTTGGTTGATTTTTGTCCGGAATTTTTTTATGTCTGTCAAAGCATTTGATAAGGATTTGTTTGATTCATCATTTCGTTTCTTAATGTCTTGAAGTGTTTTGCTAGATCTTTCTGTCATGTCATTGATATCCTTCAATATGTCTTGATAATCTTTGCTGTCTGTGACCTTGTCTGAAATGTCTGGTATATAATTGACTTTGCAAGATGCTGCAGTATGGTCAAGTGTGACACAAACACTACAGAGTAAAGCTTCATGGTCATGACAGTAAAACTTGATCATCTCCATGTTGTGTTTAGGACATGGTTTTGTGAAGTTATCTGGTTGTCTTGGAGTTACAGGTGACAGAGTCTGTGGCATGCTGGATTTGTCTTGTAAAGTATGGTGTCTTGATAATGTATGTCTTTTGTGAACTGTAAAGCATGTTTCACACAAATGCTCTGAACAGTTTGTACAATAGCCGTGAGCAGGAAGTCTAGGTCCATCTCGATCGCATGGTTGACAGTAAACTTTGAGATCTTCATCAGAACCCATAGAAGTTGTTGATGATGAAAATTGTTTGGTGGCTTTTTTACCTTGGACAGCCATGACTTCTCTGAAAGTTGAATAAACAATCTGAATAAGCAATAAAATAGCATTTATACACTTGTGTAACTTCAAAAGTGTATCTGCTAGAGCATGAAACCTTTTTAAGAACACAGTTGTCACCATATGGAAATTGGCAGAGTAGTGTCCCTTGAATCTTGCTAATAACAGTTGTTAGCATGTAAACTTATGCACCTGTGTACATGTTATACTATATTGATGCAAATTCATTTGTGATGAACAAGGTTATGCCTCCTGCATTTGCAAAAAAAAGTTTGTATTTATATTTTATACACCCTATTTTTCTTCATCGAACAGGACCTAAAATGTGTTGGTTTTGTCAGAAACTTATATTCTGCATGCATATATTAAGTATTACTTGAATCAAATATTTATTATGTGTTATAAATCAATATTTTTTCGAAATATAGCAAAATCTTTGTTTTATTTAAATGAATGAATGGAGTTGATTAGATTATCACTGAATTTAAGGCTTATGTTTTAATTACAGGTGTTAAACAATTAATGACCCCTCAGCCTTAACCTCTCTTAACCCATTACCCCATGAGCATTTTGTGAAAAATGGCTGTTTTCATTGAAAAGTCTCCCGTTACAAGTTCAAGTTGCTATAAAACTATAAAAACTGCTTCAATACTAATCAAACTTGGCACAAATGTTGACTGGACCATTGCCTTTGTAACAACATGCTCAGTCTGAAATTTCCTGTTACCATGGCAACTAGGAGACATCTCAAAATTGCCAAAAATCACTATTTTGCGTTGATTTTTTTCCATCAAAATTGATTTCAAAGTGCTGCCACTTCTCAAAGGATTGAGATAGAGTCAAAGGCTTTTCAGCATTGGTTACACGTTACCTTATTATCGACCTGGGGCCATTTTTAGCCTCCCACAAGTCCAAAATTTTCTTGGCGATGAGGAGGAATCCGCCCCCCTACAAACCCCCCAAACAGAAGGGGGCACATCCCCCTTCTGGCAACCCCCTGATGTATCTTTTGGATGGGGGGCCGCGCCGAAAAAGTGGTCAATTTTTTAAACAACATTTCTCAAACAAAAACAAGTGTTTGGGGGCCTAAATAAGGCATTTTTCCACCATTTGAGAAAGCAAAAAGGGGGGGGGGGAAGGCGTAGAAAGGCGTATATATCTGGTAATGGGTTAAGTGTTGATTGGATTGAAATACCTGAGAAAAAATATGTAAAAGCCAGTGTATGACAGATAAACATCAGTTTTAAACATTTTAAGCAGAGTTTTAAGGTATTTTCTATTTCTTGTCAAGATGTTTAAAATTGTTTATTTTGATGTGTACATCATATAAGGCTGTAAATTGTTAGCTTTAATAAAGTGTTCTTAATTTTGACCTTTGAATAAATCAATAAGTAGAAAAAGCTATTAAGTTAATTCAACCAACAAATCTTGATTACCACAATAATGTACCTAACCATTTTTTTACAATTTCAAATTACATACCTTAAATGATATCCGAAGTTAATTTGCAAAGGTAAAATTCTTCAAAACATAAAAGAAAAATAAAAAATTTAAAAATCAAATATGTCCTCCTTACAATCTTGAATGCTTAAATTCTCTTTAATCAGGTAACAAGTATAAACAAGTTGGAGAGAGTTGTGTGTCTACTTGAAACCGATAGTTTCATGCAAAAAATGAAAAGATATGGTGATACCCTCTTTGAATTTAAACGATTACATGGTAATTCGATCACAGTTATTTAAACTTGATACTGAAAGATTATGGAGATGATAATACATGTATATTCACATACATTAGTGTTTGAAATTAATTTTTGTCCATTCAGATTGCAGTATTTCAAATGAAACGTAACAGTCATTTACTGTGGTAAATCGCAAACTGTAGTAAATTGTCTATTTATAAAAATAATTCAAAAGACTTAAAGCTGTTTGAAATTTATTAGTAAGTATTTACAAAATCAAGTGACCAATTTATTTTTGTAAATACGTAAAAAATAAACTTAAACATATACTTAAAATGTGATCTCTGATTGCTCTTGTACATAATAAATAATTAAGTCATTTTGCCATATTTCGAAAGATATTTACAATTCTAAACACATAATTAATATATAAGCAAAGCACTATGTCACAGGTTAGTGCCATAACTGATTAAATGCTATAAAATTTAGAAGGTCTTATTCTGTTTCTGCACAAAGGTGATGAATTGTTATATAGTCACATTTTTTCATTTTCAAATTCAAAATGATTAAATTGATTATATTTGTATAGCCGTTTATGTAAATGTTTAATCATGTTCAACTTGGGTATTCATAAGCAGAAATGTAAATAGTCAAGGGTACTACAGAAACTTATTGACAGGCTTACCTGAGTCCCTATAAAACAAGTAGACTAATTTACACTTTTTGTTATGCAAGTTTCAATCAGTAAAAATGTTTGTTTTATTTACATGAATGAATGGAGTTGATTAGATTATCACTGAACTTAGGGGTGATGATTTAATTACAGGTGTTTAACAATTAATGACCCCTCAGCCTTAACCAGTCTTTTAAGTGTACCTGACCAGTGTTATGACAGATAACATCAGTTTTAAACATTTAAATCAGTGTTTTTAGGAATTTTCTTGTTGTACTTTATATCAATTAAATTCATCAAAATAAGTTTGGGGCGTCTTTGGCCGAGTGCTTAAAGTTATTGACTATACAAACCACTTGCCCCTGACCAATTTGGGTCACATGATCCTGCCATAGATTTGTGAGGAAGCTATCAAGCTAACTTAGGAAACTTCGGTGGTTTAATTCAGGTGCCAGTCTGTGCCTGAATATCGCATGGAGGGGCACCTAAGGTCGTCCTTCTTCGGTAAAACTGGAAAGTTGCCATATGACCTTAACAGTGTTTTGTATGATGTGAAATCCAAAAAAAGGAGAAAACAAATCTTCGTTCAGTTAAGTAATAAGTGATGAAATATAGATTTGTATAGGTTTTTGACAAGTGTGATTGTGTATCTTAAAATTTACCAAATTTTGATAATTATTTCCTTAATAGTTGTATTAACTAGAAAAAATATTACCTACTGTAACACCATCTTCAATCATTCTCATCATGTAAGAAAATAATATTAATTCACTCCTGGTAGATTCTCTTTATGTAGAATATAAAAAGATGAACAAATTTAAAAGAAAAAGGTGGAGAACTGTCATTATTTCAAATTTGGAGAACTGTCAGGGGAGTAAACAGCTTGTTGTAGAACAATCAGAGGGTAGGAACTAGTCAGAGGGGAGAAACTAGTCAGGGGGGAGGAACTAGTCAGGGGGAGGAACTAGCCAGAGGGAGGAACTAGTCAGAGGGAGGTACTAGTCAGGGGAGGAACTAGTCAGAGGGGAGGAACTAGTCAGAGGGGAGGAACTAATCAGGGGGGAGGAACTAGTCAGGGGGGAGGAACTTGTCAGGGGAAAGAACTAAGTCAGAGGCTGGATCAAGTCTGGGGGAGGGTCTAGTAAAGGGGAGGAACTAGTATGGAAGAAAATAACCTGGAATTTGTGTGATTATTCTCTAAATATTGTTAAAAAAACTTTCAATGTAGAAAACAGCTTCATAGATCCTCATGCACCACATGTGAAATTAGTTTAATATACATGTACAACTTATTGATAAAGAAATAATTATCAATTTTGTCAGTCTCCTCTGATTGAAGAAGATTTGAGCATTCATGGTGGCAAGGTGTTAATGTGTCATTTCTGAGTACTTAAAATGTACCTTATTTTATAACAAAGTGTTCATAGTTAAAACAGCTATACAAAATTCAAACACATTTACATAAACACATACTTTTTACTTATTCAGTTGACTTTTCTTCCGTGTCAATCTGTCAAAAACATTCATCTGCATCATTTTCTCGTGACTGGCACTAAACTTTACTTTAACAGGGTTTTGTTGAAAGACAGCTTGTTTAACAGCAGCATTTTTCTGTGTCAATTTCTGTTGAACTTCCATCTTTCCAAACCTTTGTGTCCTTTTCTGAACAGTTACTGTAGGTTTTAAGACAGTAGTTTGGTTTCTTTGACTTGCATTCGATCTAGCAGTATTTTCCTTGTTACTTTGCTTAAACAGATTATGTTTAGCTTTTTGCTCTGATAAGTCAGGCATTACTGTTGATTTTTCTGTCACTTTGGGTTCATTTATCTTTTCTTTAACTATTGGCATTTCCTTTGCCTTTACATTGGGTTCGTCTGCAGTTTCTAAATCATCTTTCATGGAATTTTCTGGTATTTTATGAGGAGATATGTTTGAGAGCTCTTTGTTGAATGTATATTTAGCCTTTTCAAGTGATGGTTTTAAGTATTTTTGCATTATATCAATATCTTCATCTAGATTTTGCTGTGTTTCAATTTCTGTTTTCTGTTTCATCTTTCGATCTCTTAAGATACTGGTGATTTCTCCATTAGCTGCATAGAATTCTGGAGTCTTCTTTATCTGCAAAATAGTTTTTAACCCTTAACCTGCTGAATTTCTTAAATGGACTTTTCCAATTTCCATTTTGGAACAGTCCATTATCAATTTCAAGGGATATTAAGGCGAGAATTTGAAGTTGGCCAGCCAACGGTATAGAGCCTGCAATGGTTAGACTGCAAGGATGTACAGGCTGGTCTGGCTCTATAATGGTGGAAAAGACTTAACACTTTCCCCTTCAGCAGGGTAAAAGTTTACAAATTTTTAATTTGTGGTAGTTCTTTTTCATGAGTCTGTGAAATACAAGTATTAGCTCACTTAGTCAGAGATTGATCATATGGATCCATGTGGACTGCCAGCTGTGTTTTTTTTTGTCTATGCATAGTTTCTTTAGGGAACAAATCTTTACAAATCTTCAGTTGTGCTTTTATATTGAAATGAATGAACCCATTACTGTCAGTAATACTGCCTTTAATTAATTGCATGTCCTTTCATTGAGCTACCTATAATGACTTACACATTATCTGCCCTATAAGAGGTCAGTTTTAGAACAAGAAATTCTATGATTGTTATTCTTAGTATTGTCAGAATAAAATTTCAATTCCCGAAATGGCTTCAGGCTTTCATTTGCTTTCATTTGTATCATTAATGGAATTTGCAAATTTAGGAATTAGATACTAACTTGGTCAAGAGCATTACAGTCAGCTCCGTGTTCTAGAAGAAGTTTAACAATGTTCGTGTGACCGTTCATGGCAGCAAGGTGTAATGGTGTCATCTCAGAGTACTGTAAAACATACTGCATGTTTAAAGGCACATTACGAGTCATGAACGATTAAAGTTTTTCTTCTTTTGAAATGGCAAACATGTATTTTAGTAATTGTTTTAAACCTGTTTGAAGCTTATTACCTGGAAAAAAAATGCAGTGAATGTGGAATTATTTGTCATAAAAGTTGCAAAATGTAAACAAAGTAGTATTTTGACTTCCATACAAAATACAAAACCAGTGTAACTGTATTTTTTGTCAAAATGCAACAGAACCAAAATATAGCTCAGAAACTTGGACAATCTATTTCAGGGCATCCAAAATAAAAAGCTTTTGAGAAATAAAAATAAATGCATATCTGAGGCATAATGGGCCTTTAAGCACAAGTTAGTGTTTAAGTATATAAGATGGTTATAACATTAAGGAATCAAATGGTGATGTAGGGTAATGTAAATGGAGCTCTAAGTTAAATCTGTCACGAGAATTTTTAAAAAAAACATTAACGAAAAAACAAAAACCAACAACAACAAAGTACTCACACAAATCTTTCAGATAAGGTATACATTATTGAGAGGTAGGAATGATAACAGGGGAGTTGGTTTACACAGACTCTTTAAGGCCCATGAACTCTAAAAAAAACTGTCTTGTTTTTGGTATGGATACAATAAGTTTCTTCAACTGGCCATTTAGTTGGGCTATCATTTGCTTTTAAGCAATTTAGCAATTAGAACAGTCATAGTATATTTCGTTTGAACAACTGTTTCAGGAATATTCCACTTAGTGCACTGTTTCAGGAATATTCCACGTTGTGCACTGTTTCAGGAATTTTCCACTTTGTGCATTATTTCAGGCATAAATCATGCAGTGCTTTATATCAGACACAAGCAAATATTCAAGAATAACCAGAGACCTTTAATCTATTGAACATTCTAATAAGAGTTCTTTGGTGTCTTTACAAGATCTTACCAAAAAAGGAAGAAAGATACCTTTGTTGTAGTATCTATTTCAGCATGAGCATCTATAAGAAGTTTTGTCATATCAAAATGTCCATTGTTTACTGCTATATGAAGAGGTGTCTGGCTGTTCTGATGAATAGAAGAAAAATTAACATTGTTAATATTTCATAACAGTGCATTCTGATTAGGGAAGCAAAACGTAGTTAATGTTTCATCACAGTGTGTCCTCAACCACGATTTGAGGAATATTACTGTTTAATTTAAAATTAGCCTATAAATAAACCTCTAGCCTTCTGGTGGCAACTGAATATACACCCATGTGATCTGCGCCATCTGATCATGGTCTGCACTGTTCCACCTTTAGATCAGTCATTACATATATTGAAATATTCTGCAAAAAATGATAAGTGGTTCTGTCCAGATTGAAAGAT